TGATGTTAATTTCTTTTTAAACCAATGTAACATTTTTATTGATTCTCTGGGAATTTTACATCATGCACTCCAATCTTTCCCATGTCTGCCCTCCTCATCCTTGTGGCCCCCCCTCAAAAACAGTAAAAAGTCTATTTATTGTTTTGTATACACTCACTGGAGCATGTTCCAACTCTCAGTGGTCTGCCCCTTAACTAGCACTGAGTCCTTCCCCTCCTGCACCCCGCCACAAGCCATCAGTTGTGGAGAGCAAATGTTAGCAACCCCATCACATTTTTTAAAAGTTTGGTTCAATGGCTTCCTGTCTACGCTGTTACTTTTGTGTGTGTCCTCAGAGAAGCTTCCTAGCCTTCCTTACATTGTTGAAGGTCTGTGAGTGAAGAAGGGACATGTACTCCAATTATCCCCGCCTATGAATTTTCTTTATGGAGAATGCTATGGACAGCACAGTGGATGGTTGATAGCAAGCTCCACTCTTTGTCTGGCTTGTAGGGCTGGCCTCCTTTTCCCTGGTAACCTGGGAACATAGGGAGAGTATGGGGACAGGGCAGAGCTCTGCGGAGGGGCAGAAGACGTATTTATTTCCTTAGCCCTGTTGCCCTCTCTATAGGAGAGGTTTTTCCTTTTGTATGTGTGTTTTCCCTCAGCCTTGGTAGCCAGCCTGCACGTAACACACTCGGAGCCTAGTATTGTAGTTTAAGTCTCCTCCCCGTGTGTCTCCCTCACAGCTTTTACCAGGGCTAGATGGCATTTGAGCAGGGTATTAGCTTCTTTTGCTTTGGGTTCTTGGAATCTATGTTAGTGCAGTTCTTGAGGCTTTATCATAGCACAGAGTCCAAGTGGCAATCCCAAGTGTAGACACAGGAATGAAGGCCTCTGCAGTGGAGACAGGCAGACCTCTGTCTCTAAGGAGATTTGCTGGGCTAGAATGCTCACGGTCACCATCTGCTATCCAGGTGTCCATGGGTGAGTCTGAGTGTTAGCACAGGAGATTAGAAAGTCTGTTGAGTTCCTAGTTCTTCTGTATAGACTCCTTCCTCAGCTGGAGTTTGAACCTCCTGCTCAGGCTGACTCCCTCACTCAGCATGAACTTGCTCAGTTAGGAGCATCTCTGAGGTTGTCTTTTTTTCCCTCAGTGGAATAAGGCTTTCCTCTCAAGAATACCTTTAAAGAATAACATCTAGCCAGGCGATGGTGGCACACGCCTCTAATCCCAGCACTCAGGAGGCAGAGGTAGGCAGATCTCTGTGAGTTCGAGACCAGCCTGGTCTACAGAGCTAGTTCCCAGGACAGGCTCCAAAGCCACAGAGAAACCCTGTCTCGAAAAGCCAAATATATATATATATATATATATAAATCTAGCTCTTAGATTGCTAGGTTCAGAGAAAGATTTGCTTGAATGAGGAGTTTTGGTCATTTGTTGACTCTAAATTGCCATTCGGGCTCCAAGTGCAAAGTAGACAGCTTTTCTTTGGATCTCAGGCTCATGGGAATTTCCTGCCATTTGGGGAATTCTCCCCACACTCTTAGGACAGTCCTGTCAACAGTGAGCAGATGGGGAGAGCTGGAGGGAGGCGAGGGGGTAAGCAGAAGTTTATAAGGCATAGAGGTAGAACAGTGGGCAGTAAAGTTGGCTATGTGTACTGAGAGGACAAAGAACCCATTGTGTCATGGTCTGCTGCCAGCCTGGACCATATATTATTTCTCTGGACCAGCCAGGGAGATGTGGGAAATAATTGAGACAACTCATATGGCTTTATCGGGAGGGAGATTCTCAGGGATCCCCCATGAAATCCTGAGTTCACATCCTGAAACTTCCTCCTTGTTTATTCTCCAAAACATAAACTGAGGGGGAAAATTCATTAGCATTCTGTTTCCTAGGTAACCAGGCCAACGTCTTTGGTCACGTCCACACCTTTCTATGCCCATTTTGTTCCTGCCCTTTATGCCAGCTCTGTCATGCAGGCCGAATCAACACCTCTATCCCAGGTGCCCTCCTAATTACAAAGAAGGGGCAGAACAACATTAGCGTATCCTGACCCTTTGTTAGCAGCGTGGAAAGCCAGGTGACCACCTCCTGTGGCAGGTGCAAACTATGGCTTGACAGTCTGGCGGCCATACAATGCAGAAAAAGGTGGCCTGTATAATCTTGCCCCACATCATTGTCCGTGTTTGACTAGTGAGCTTGTGTCTCAAACACGGGCTTAGGCACTTAGCCCTGGGGAGGAGGAGTCTCCACTGTTTCTGCCAACGGGCTTCGAGCTTGTTTTGCCTGTGTATCTGATGCTTCTTTCCCCGTGCCTCTATTCTGCTGCCACAAAGCCTCAGACGACATGCCCGATGGAAAACAAGGCATCCTCAGGGCAGATGTAGTAAGATGGTAGGTAGAGGAGAGACTAAGGAGTTGTGAGGACCGACAAGAGACACACAGGCACGGAGGGGCCCCACAGAGCTAGCGAGAATGTGCTGAGCAAAGGGACACAACCGTGAGAGCCACTGTGAGTACTCCGGGGTTTGGATGGCTAGGATGGGGTGTTGGGATTTCAGATTTCACAAGGAAGTGGTAAAGTGGAAGCATGGGGAAGTTAAAACGGTTTTGTCTAAGGTATTTGTCAAAGCATCACATGAATACTATATCACTCAGAGATTCTAGGAGGGTTGGAAGAGGACGTTGTCACTCAGTGTCTGTCTTAGATAAGGCTGGCAATGGCAGTGAAGAGAGGGGATGAGAAAGCGCACACCAAAGGCAGAGAACAGAAGTGTTACCAATGCGGCAAGAGCGAGACCCCGGCAGGTGAGGGCCACGGGCAGGAGATAAATAGCCATGCAGACAGAGCTTGAGTGTGGAGTTTATTGAGATAAAGGGGATGGGGGAGGAAAGAGAGAAATGGAGAGAAAGAGAGAGAGAGAGACACACAGAGAGAGACAGAGAGAGGGGAAGAGAAAAAAAAGAAGAGACACACACAGAGAGAAAGCTACCTTCTCAGAGAAAATGGCAGAAAGGAAGAGTTAGGCGGGACTTGTCTCTTAAAGGGATCTTTTGCACCTGCATACAGACTAGGACCCTGGGCTGGCCAGGGTACTGCCTGAGTGCTTCCTGCCAGTTGACAGGGCAGACCAGCATAATGCCAGAGTCCTAAGAAGAAGCATTCAAGAAAGATTACAGGTGCAATGCTCAGATCAAAGCGTCATTCAGGAGCTTTGTGAATGTTCTATGCATCCTTCCCTGGTACATGGTATTGAGAGGAGGGGCAGGGTCTTTTGATGCCAGTGAAGAGGACAGGGAGTGAGTACAGATAATGTTATGATTGCAGAAAACAAAGGCCAGGTGGGACATAGGCACTTATTAGAAAATCCTGTTATTTACAGTGTTTCTTTAAATATCCCTCTGGGGAGTTTAATTTTCCATTTGGGTGAACTCAGTGGAACGTACTCTGGAATAGTGAGATCTTCATAGACAGGTAAGAGCTAACTTCTGAGGAGAAAGGGGATAAATGTCAGCAAATAGCTAAGACAGAAAGCAGAGCCCAACAGAAGAACACCATTTCCATGAACTCAGAATCATCGGGAAGCTTGTCACAAAATGGATTACATGGGGGGAAAAGCTAAGCTTTTGCAACGAGTAATCTCTTAGAAATTTCCCAGGCAAGTCTTATGGCAACCGTGTACTAGAGAGCTGAACTTGGACCTCAGACATATTTGTTCACTGCAACATAAGGTGGCCCTCACACCTGGCATGTGGCTTGGTGTTCATTTGCACTTGGCTCAAGAGACTTGCCTCCTGACTTTCTGTTCATTGAGTTGGCAAGAATCTGCAAGTACCCCTGACAGGTGGCTAACATCTAGCATAACCGCCTGGCATGAATGAAGATATTTAAATAGAATCACACGCCCTTCTGGCTTCCTTCCTCCCTTGGCCATCAGACTATGAAACTGATCCCTGTGCTGGCTAATTTGATGTCAACTTGAAACAAGCTATGGCTATTGCAGATGAGAGAGACTCAGTAGAGAGCATGCCTCCATGAGATGCAGCTGTAGGCAAGCCTGGAGGTTAATTTTTAAGTTTAGTGATGAATGTGGGTGGGCCCAACTTGTTGTGGGTGGCACCATCCCTGGACTGGTGGTCCTGGGTTCTATAAGAAAGCAGGTTAGGCTACCTGTGAGGAGCAAGCCACTAAGCAGCACAGCCTCCGTGGCCTCTGCATCAGCTCCTGCCTCCAGCTGCTGCCCTGTTTGAGTTCCTCCTATGATGAACACCGCTGTGGAAGTGTAAGCCAAATAGACTCTTCCCTCCCTAACTTGTCTTTTGGTCATGTTTTTGGTCACCATGCTTGATGGCCTTTCATCATAACAATGTTAACCCTAAGACAATCCCCAAAGAATCGGAATCTGGGGTCACTGTTCCAGCCAGAGGAAAGACTTGTGTCCTGGAACCCAGTTCTGACAACTTGCAGATGACTTTGCATGAGTGATAATCCTGGGTCAGTGATGGCAAGGGCTTGACCTTGACCCAGATTACTTAACTGTGCACCTCTTACCTCCTATTTAAACTAAACCCACCTTAGCACTTTGAATATGGAATAGGGGGAGGGTGTTAGACATTTTACTTCCTGATATGCCCACATTGAGTAAATCTCCTCTCTCTGTTTTTCACTGTTGCTGTGGATTTAATTGTTCTAACTTGTTCTTAAATTCTAGCTGTAACAAGAAAGGTCTGAAAGTAAAGAAATACACTTTGGGTGGACGTAGGGAAGCCTGCTTTATTAGCAGATGAGATCATCCATGGATTTAATTGAACACTGCTAAATAAGCTCATCTTTCTACATTGGTGTGCTGGTTTGAAGAGGAATGGCCCCCATAGGCTTACACATTTGAATGCTCGTCTCTAATTGGTAGAACTGTTTCGGGAAGGATTAGGTGTGACCTTACTGGGAGAGGTGTTTTTCTGGGGGTGGAATTTGAAGTTTGAAATCCCCCTCCAGGCGCAGTCCCCCCCCCCACACCACCCAGTCTCTGTTTCTAACTTGAGGATAAGATGTAAACTCTCAGCTACTGCTCCAGTTCCATGCCTGCTGTCCTATGGCCACACTCCACATCGTGGTGATGATAGACTAACTGGCTTACACTGTAAGAAAGCCCCCAGTTAAATGCCTTCTTCTATGTGTTGTCTTGGCCATGGTGTCTTTTCACAGCCATAGAAAACTAAGACGGCTGTTAGTAGAGCATTTGGACAAAGTTATGAAATATATTTTTATTTCTGTATCACTCGGTCTGTATCTACCGCCCTTCCTTGTTCCCTGTCACTGTGGCTTTAGGCATCACTGACTCTTGCATTCTACACTCATGGAACTACCAATGTATGATTTCTTCCCACAGTGTGCCCCCGTCCATGAATGGTCCATCTTTACTCAGATCTAGGGGAAGGAAGACACATTCTTGGTGATGTTAGTTCCAGATCTTTTGTATTTAAATAATTTGGTTAGGCATTTCTGACATTATAGTAGTTTGTAGATTAACTAACTGCAATTGAATGTTATTTTTACCTGGAAAAGTTCCTTAGGACTAACTAAAATCTACTAGTAAAAGCAACATTTGGTTCTTCCAAGCATTCAAAATTACCATCCAAAGATCGAGCAAAGATTAAACCTTAGAATCTGGGCAGAGAATTACTAATACACATAGATCCAGACTTTGAGCTTCCCATACTACTATATTGCCCCCTACAGGAAGTCTAAATTCCATTTTAGAAAGTTCTACAATGCAAGGAATGCTTTATTTATTTATCTCCTGAAAATTCAGTGCAAGCCTAGCGTCACCTGCATTTCCCCTAGCCACTTCCACATTATTTTCAGCACATGGATGCCAGGGATAGTGCTGTTGATACTAACATCAGGGCAAAGAGGAGCCGTGTCATTGGAGGTGGGCTTCTCTTCAGTGGGGATGAACAGAGATACCCGTGCAATGTTTGATATTTCTGATTTCAGGTTGGACTTATCCACAGCCCGGATAGCAATGAAGACATCGGTGCCATTTCCAAAACTATCATCTTCCAGTTCAAACGCAAAGATTTCCTCAGAGTTGGCCTCCTTGGGGATGAGGTTGGTGGTGTTCACTTGGATGGAGGTATTGAACTTGTCTCTTAGATCAGCAATATTTGTGCTTATTCGGATGATGTACTTGGAAGCTAAAATGTGTGAGAGAGAGATGGGGGAGGGAGAGGTAGGGAGAGAGGAGTGAGAGAGGCTGCGACTTGTAATTCTCAAATCTTGAGCTTTAAAAACCTGTTAGGGATTACATCATCATCTCACGATGTTACCATGAATAGACCGTATTCACAAAGATTCTCATCTCCTGTGTGCATTTGTTACTCTTGGCAAAGTGGATATAAAGCCGCTCAGTGATTGCCTAAAGCTTTTGAGCATAGAGAGGGCTTGGCTGAAGAAGGGTGGTTTGGGTGCTAGTGTTTCCTGAATGTTAACGTGCTCAGACGATCTTAAAACACAGATTTAGTTAATTAGGTCAGGCTGTCGCCCACACATTTCATAAACACATGCTAGAAACAGAGAACCTCAGGCTCCACCCCACACCTAATTTCTATACTGATACTTTGAGAGCCAAAGTCTGGTAGCGTGGGAGAGTTCTTCCGCAGATGTTTATAGCCGTCTCTATTCATAACCCTTCTCTAGAAACACAGCAAAACCTCAGCTGTCAGCAGCTAAAAACAAAATCAAACCCAAAACAAAACAAAAAGCAAAATACCAAAGTTTTCTTTTCTGAGATAAAATATCTCATTCCTTAAATAGGTAAGCTTCTTGGACTTTTTAAATCTTTAGTTTTAATTTTAGAAGCCCTTCGAGATCCCCTGCCTCTGTCTCCTCCTGCCTTCAACACCAACCTCTACTGTGCCTCTGGTTGGTTGATAAACTCGTCTTCAGGGTCCATACCACAGCATCTTACCTCTCCCATGGTCGTAGTCATCCCCAGGAGCGGTCCAGGTCAGATTCACGAGCTTGTGCCCCTGGATGCTAGCCGTTAGGTCGGTGACTCGGCAAGGTGGAAAGAGGTCAGGAATGGGAGCCGAGGGGACGTTCGAGGCCATGAATGACCCCCCAGAAGACGTCCTAGTGAAGCACAGTTGCTTGTCTTGGACAGTATTAGTTTCAGGACGTGGAGGATTGAATTTTACTTCACCTGTGTTAAATATAAAGGGCAATGTTGCTGAAAGGCAAGCCCTTCCTGTTTCTTACTGAATCTTTCTTTCTTCCTGTTTCTTACTGGATCTTTCTTTCTTCCTGTTTCTTACTTTTCTCCTTCTCTCCTCCCACCCACAAAATCCACTTTAAAGTTTGGCGACAAAACACCAAATCGGGTTGCATAAGAAGAAAATGAGCAAAGTGAGGTCTACATTTCTTTACCTAACAGGTGTTTCCTGATTGTAATACAAAAAAAAAAAAAAAAAAACAACCCTACAATTAATTTTTCTAACACTTGCCCTGGAATTATACTCCTTCTCTCATTTTTTTTCTTGTCTTTAATTAAAAATTTTTATTCAGAGGACAAATTGCAGGAGTGGATTCTTTCCTCCCACACATGGGTACCAGGAGTGGAACTCCAGGTGTTGGACTTGGTAACAAGCTCCGTTATTCACTGAGCTCTCACCGGCCTCTCAAGTTCCTGTCTTCTATAAGGTCAGATTAAATACCATCTCTGCTATTGTCTTAAGAAGTCGCTTATCATTTTGGTAATATTGTCAGGGCCATAGTCACTCTCATTTATTTCGCACTTAATCTCCTTGGTCTTGGAGAATGACCTTGATTGTTTAACATTGTTTTCACATTCTCCATATTTGTGCTTTATCTTTCTTGCTTGATTAGAAATTTCTCATGAAATAGTTTATGTTAAGAGTTCTAACACTTTACGCTTTTGAAGGCTGGTCTCAAACTCATGATCTTCCTGACTCCTTTTCTGGAGTGCTAAGATTGTAGGCAAATGCCACCCACTTCCAGCCCAATTGTCTCAGTAAATTCCTGGGAATTTATTCAAGAAGGAACTTGCTTCACAGTCTTATATAAAACTAATTCTGTGCCTCAAAGACTACTATGGCTCTTGTAGCCAATTAAGCACTCAGAACTCATCCAATAAAGGTGCTCTGTGCAGAATATGACATTATTCGGAATTTACTTTCTCATACGTTCCACTTGTTTAAAGAGATTTTGTGGTTGTTGTTGTTGTTGTTGATTTTAATTAGGAAAGCAAATCGTGAAACCCTTTAGACTCTCTTGCTCTTAATCCACTCTGATCCTGAACAAGCGTTTGAAACCCAGAGTGTTGTGTATGGTCTTATTTCTTAAAGATGTGTTTTTTTCACTTACACGTAGGCTCAGGGGGTTGCCCTCTAAGAATCTGTTTTGCAGTGGAAGAAAGTGAAGGACATATTTTGTCTTGTAGATGATATGATTTGAAACCAAAGTGGTTAAAAGCTGTGATTTGCCTAACTGGTTATCAAATGGGGGGGGGGATTTTACCCTCTCTTACAGGACAACGGCAGATGACTAGGGACATTTTTGAATATAGTAACCTGGGGTTGGGGCTTTACTGGTATCTAGTGGATTGTTTGGTTCCAGTGATGCAGCCGGATCCTACAAGATGTAAGAGTGTACTCAGAACAAAGGATCACGAGCCCCAAACACCAATAAGGTAGAATGAGGGTCAGAAACCAAGAGACATCTTTGCATTATTCTTCCTCAGGGCTTACTGATTCTTCTAGACCCAAGTCTTTTGGTCCAGTCTCCAGACCACTTACCATTTTCAATCCAGCCGTCTATATACATGACTCCATTCTGAGGTAATGTTCTCTGCTTGTCTGTTGTAATTCCTCCCAGAGCCCATATTTTTATGCTGTATCTACCATTTGTATCAAAAGCTGTAAAAAATCTTGAGTAGACACCATCATTCTTGGTAGCATCAGCACCTTGACAAGGAGATGAACGAATTCATGAATACCCGAAAGGCAACTGGACACCTGTATTTCCAGTCTGCGTGTGGATTAAGATTTTGCAAACAGAGAAACTGAGCATTATCAACAAGGCTTGATTATGTATAGGATGAGGCCTGATGCTTCTGTATACATGTGTGTACATGTATAGAGACTTAGGTGTAAATCTTCTCACCCCGAGGAGTCTGTTCCTTTTGGAATCAGAGGTCATTACACATGTCTCTGTCATGACTGGTAGGATGAGATATCAATTCACTAATATCTGTCCTGTCAAATCAGATTGCTTTATGTATATGATGGGGAAGAAAAATTCATAATTTCTCCTCAGAGGATGTTTGGGTAGGAAATACACTTACAAAATTCATTCTAATAAAGATTCTTCTATCAGAATAAATAGACACATTCCAAAAAGGAAATGCAGAATTGTATTTCTTCTTTATAGATTTCTTAAATGCAAGAAAAGTGGGCAGAATTTCTTACTTGGGAGGTCAAGTCTAACCAAAGTTCACATGGATATATGAATCATTTAGAACTCTGCTGGAATTCATCTTTGTTGATTAAAGTGTGACAGTATATCTTTACCAATAATGGAGGATAGTAATACCTAAAAAGTGTGTGGTGAACATAACAATGAAGATTATATATATATATATA